TGTGTGTGTGTGTGTGTGTGTGTGTGTGTGTGTGTGTGTGTGTGTGTTCACAAGTAGCTTTAAAGTATCTGAAATTTTCATATGGCCTTTTGGTTGTCGGTACCATCAATTTACATAACGCAGTTCATTCTTTAGCCAGTTCATTCACACGTGGTCTAAAATATCTCCAGAACGATTGCGCCATAAATTGCCATGAAACTTGTTCGAAATTCATGGTCCCCAGAAGATGAATCCTACGAATTTTAGTGATCGCCTTTTCCTCTAGCACCACCAGCAGTTAAAAGTTTGTACTTATCCTGCAAAAGCTCTCAACATCTACTCGATGGATTGGGACAAAGTTTTGTACAGACATTCACGGTTCCTATATCCTAATGTCTCAATAACGATTGGATGGGTTGCCATGACATCTGGTATATTCATGGTCCTCAAGGGTTGAATTATAATAATTTTGGTGATCAGGTCAAAATAAACCAATACGTTTATGACCCAAAAGCTGCAAACCGATGACACTCCCATCAACCTCAGCTATACTTTGTGTTTAATGCTAATTAAAGCTTCTCTACACAATATTCACAGCATTCATATGGCAGCAAACAACTATTTGTAATCTAAAGATATAGGGGAGTGATGTCTACCTGAGCAGAGAGTGAAGTCGCTCTCTCTCTCTGTCTGTGTGTGTCTGTCAGCACTTTCGCCATAGTTTGCACTCTTAGCGCTGTTAGCACCGTTAGCTGCGAGCCGTCGCCACGTTGACAGCCGTTTGGAGGCAATAGATATGCCCTGCATATTTAGCACCTTTAAGATGCATATTTAGCATCTTATTGAGCACCTTTAACAGACATAACATGCTAAGACGCTAAACTAAGTTTGGTGAACATGGTCAAGATTACACACGCTAAACGACGGCATGTTGACACTGCGAGCATGTTGCTTGGCTAGCGTTAGCATTTAGCTAAAATCACCACTATGCTTTATTACAGCCTCGCAGAGACAACTACGGACATGCATGGCCTTGTTGGGGTAAAATTGGCACAGTTACCGATACCCATATGGCCTTTATTTAACCTAAACTGTTCTGCAACGATCCAAAGAGCCTAGAGGAAACATGGGCTCTGAATATTCATCAGTTTGTGCGGGGCAGGCGTGCCGTTTTCCCCTTTACAATTATTGTGGGATAGTCAGTTAAGCTGGTAACTAAACGGGGACTGATCTCAGCTAGAGAAATCTCAGCTAATGAAGTGACTCATACATGCTCTCTTATCCCTCAACAAGTGCTTGGTGGCCAACAGTTACAGTATAACTTTGGTTGAAGGCAAACAGCTGCTTTCACCCATATTTGCAGTTGAACGCTGGCTACATGAAAAGCGTCAGGATTCATCAGCCAAACGCAACCTTTCTCCAGCCCTCTGCTACCAGATCAGGCATTCCCAGGCTCATAATTCATATCTCGTCATGACGGTCCAGATATGAATTATTGATGTTGGCTCGGCGGCTCCGGGGACAGGGCCGTATCTCGGTGACTTTTTCAGAAAAACATCACAGTTTCATTACAGCAAAGTAAATTGACAAACATGCAGTGTGCTAGAGTAGGTGTGAGCTAAGGATACTTAGGAAGACGTAAGGAGGACAGTGAAGCAGGATGGAACCGTTAGTGCAGACTTATAGATGTATACTTTCTACTGATGAGCCTACTAGGTAACTGCGAAAACATTGTCATGTCTTCCCGATGACTCTAGGATCACGTCTATTACTCGGGCATCCCTAAAATTCACAGTTTTTTTTAACAATTATTTTACTTGCCATTACTTAGGGTGAAATAAAAAGCTACCTTTGTTTGTAATATGATTTCATGTTTAATACTGTAAAGGCTTTTATTGTTTGCCTCAAAAATATTTCGATGAAACCATCTGAAAAGTAAAAAAAAAAACACTTTGTCACAACTCGTGCATGTGAATCTGCAGGCTTCCAGAGCAGAGACTATCACATCATCAACCTGGCTGTCCTCCCTCACCCATGTCCAATCTTCCCATCACAGACACAACATCCATTAACCGGACAGAAACCCTGCTGTAATTGGTCTGAAAACACACAAAGTGGCAACACAGCTTGTGTTTTTTTTCATATTTTTGTCCCATGCTCAGTCATTCTTACTCTGCCCTTCCTTACCTTTGCGTTTTTTTTATCCCCCTATCTTTTTCTCTGCTGGTGTGCTCAGATGAGACCGCTCAGAGGCAGGAGCCGGGAGCTTATACGTCAGGGTTTTCTCCATAGCTCAGCAGCGTTGTAGTTCTGCCCTTCGCTAAGGACACGCGAACGAGCGATTCCCTCCGGAGAGAAGCCTCAGCATATCCTCTGAGGTGTGAAGAAGGTGTTTTGCCAAACAGCAGAAACAGCAGGAACTATGATGAGATAAGAAGAGGCTGTTTTTCAATGTTTTTTTTAAAGGAAAGTATGAGAAAACAGAAAAAATGCTGCCTTTTCCCGTTGTAAAAAATAGCCCTTGTCATTTGTAGCATTGGTAATGTATTTGTCTCACGCAAATTGAGACTTTTTTTCTGAGGGTCCTGTCTGTACATAGATGTTTTGTCTTGTTTTATTTAGTCTTTATGACTAGTCACTGTCAACTTACATTTGTAGGCATATGTTTCTCAGCCATAGCACACCTACAGCATGCAACCTTTGTGACCTTAATGGATGCACCTCATGCTCAAATCCCCGTGATACCTTTCGTGAATTATGTAGCGAAATATGCTACTGTATGTTTTCCCGAGGCAACTTCTTCAAGTCTCACTGCCATCCCGCTGTAGAAGGCAGAGGTATGATCAGGTTGTCCTGTTTAAGGTGTGGCAGGCTGTGTTCCCCCATCATCCCCCCCCCCCCCCCCCATATGCATAGGGTTAACTCTCGCAGATGCCAGTAATCAAACCTTTTTCTAAGGGTATTCAAGTCAGAGAAATGACAACAGACTGGTCTAAAAGTTACAAAAAAATGTGCTTAAGTAGCAGTAGCCATTTGTCATGGACAGTCTAATCCTTACCTGGTGAAAAAATATAGTGATATTATTAGATTATTGAAAGTTAGATCTGCTGTTACTCCCAGGCTTTTAGAAGTCAGAGGGCATAAAATGAAAACTTTTTCAAGTTCACATAAATGTGAGTGACCTTTATTTTTTTAAGATTAGCATTTGTCATCCAAGAAGCATCTAAGTTAGCTAGCGTTGACCGATCAGTTGGACTGACAGTGTCGTACAAATGAGTCATCCGCATTAAGAGGTGATATTTATTGCTGCATGTTATGATGAATAATGACAGGTAGACACATGACTGTACATCTGTGCTCACCTAGATGTAAACGTTGGGGAACACATGGACACGCACACGGGCGTGTGGAATCGCTGTCACACACTTTTTAATGGACTTACTGAACTGACAGTAGGATTCAAGCACAGCAGTTTAAACAGCTTTTGACATCTTAATCAGGGAAAATACGATCGCTCTTTCACACCAGCATAACGAACCGTACAACCCGACGAGACCCTCCAGGGTTCGGTTAAATTGGAGGTCGGCGGGGGCGGGGGTGGAAGGAGCTGCAGTAGTGTCCAGAGTTTGAAGGAAGGTACAACGGAGACCCCCCGAGGGTGAAAAAAAGGATTTGTTTTCTTTTTAAATTACACTTAACAAACAAAACAGGCTGTTCAGAGTCGAGGATTGCAGGCATGATATGCAAATGAAGGAATCTGTGTTCTCATTACAGTGGGTCTGTGTCAGGGTGTAACATGAAAATGCAAGACACTTGAAGCATAACACAGATGTAATACAGCTGTGTGGGGACGGGAATCAGTAGGAAAGCATGCACACGCCACGCCAGCAACACAGGAAATCAATTAGGAAAACACCGTGAGAACCAATTCTCACCTATATCTCTCTCCATGGAAGCAAGTGACATGACACAAACTGCTATACACACACAGACACAATTCAACAGGTTCAAGTGCAATCCTCTGTGTTGTGTACCGTATTTAGCATTCACTCTTGCAAATATATGAAAACAGCCTTTGGTCATGAGGAAGACCTTGATGATTTTCTCACAAAAGCCTTTGAGCATTTTCTCCGTTTTTTTAACAGCCGGTTAAACAAAAGTTGAGTAGTATACGTCAGACCGACGTGTACACGTCCGTCGTTCATTTATCCAGCATCTGCCCTGTAGTAACGCCACAGGGCCTTCTTTCTTCAACCTTGTGCGGTCGGAATCTCTCCGACAAACAGGCCGCGAAACTGGACTTTTTTGAATTATTTTTTTCATCAACAGTTCCTCGGAGACGCAGCAGCAGCAGCTCTTTACCAAACAACATATGCACTGCAAAACAAAACAGCAGAGTCACACTACATCAGGAGATCTCCACCTCCTGTTCACTACGACGACTGTGCATCTGTTGTTCAATCCTGTTGCGAAATATCTCCTATGAACATGTAGAGGGAACCCTGTGTGTGCTTGTGTGTGCTTGTGTGTGTGTGTGTGGTTAGTCAGTCATGCGGCCACAGTAATCTCCATCAGTGCTGTCTGCTTCTCCGTAAGGGCCTGACTCAGACAGCGATGACCTCACCGCCAAATGGCTGGTTGTGTGTTTTCGTGTCATCAGGGTTGTGTGTAGGTGCGTATTTGCAGGTGTGTGTGTTTGTGTCGCTGGCAAAAAAATAAATAATGAGATGTAACGAATAAAAAAAAAAAGCAAGCGGTTGGATTTGTTCGCATCAAAGCGCCATCTCCCGCGCTTTGTGCTTGATCGCAAGCCAGGCTGATTATAGGATGAGTTGACATTTATAAAAGAAAGAAACATTTAAAGAGGTGTCATGGGTTAAGGGAGATGAATCGGAGGAAGATTATCGTGGATGCCAGCAACGCCCCCAGGGGATTTTGTGCGCTCACATCATCTCACCGCACAATAAAGAGCCCTCTCAAATGATTCCCATGAGTATCACACACTCTCGCCATGCATGCACATGTATTCACCACGCTGAGGAGGGCCTCCTTGAGAAATGGCAGCTGCAGAGAGAGAATGTGGTGACTTCTGAGTGCTGCCCGCTGACGACACGCTGCTCTCAGCCGCTTGAGCCACGCATTCACTATGCATGCTATCACGCGCTAATATACGGACACATTTGCCAACATCCTGGATGGAGCCCGCCCGATATATTGTAATGGCCACGCCCAGATTTTAGCTTCGCAAAGTTAAATGTCAACTGTAAAAGACCGCCCTTGTCACAACACATAAATATCTGCATTTAAACGGATTCTTATCAAAAATGTTTATCTAAGCTTTTGATACAAAAATATATGAGTATAGCTATCGGTTGGCATAACATCAGGCAAACAAAAACCTTTTCCTAAACCTAACTAAGTTGTTTCCTGTGAGGATGGAAGTTTATTTTGAAAAGACTGTATGCATGTAACGATTGACACTTGTGACTGGACGTTCGTAGGAAAATGCACAAAAAATGAAGCGTAACTTTTCCGTAAGATATCATACGAACTGTATGAGGATACGTTGTGTAGACCAGTGGTTCTCAACTGGTCTGGCTGCAGGACCCACCATCACCCCTTAATGACAAGCCGCAACCCACGACCCAAATTATATATATATAATTTGGGTATATCTATATTCAAGAAGTCTAGTAGTAGTAACGTCTCTGTGTAGTAAACAACTGTCAAATCAAATAAAGAAACATCAATTATATTTTAACAAATATTATTCTCATTTTTCAAATTTAACTGGATGGATTATAACTAATACAAAGAAATACATAAATAAATGTTTTTCTTATTTCAAGTAAAATAACGGCTGGATTAAAAAATAAATTACATAACAGAATTCATTTTAGAAAAATTATTTTCACTGAATTGCCCTGCAGCTTTAAATTCAGTTCATTCAGTGTGAAGTGAAAAAGCCACAATATTATATTTTTCTCATCTACTAAAAAGAGAAATTCGTGTTGGAAGAATTCACCTCTATGAGTCTGTCCAGTCAGAGTCTAATGACTCTGGTCTCTCTGGACATCTTCTCTTTTGGAGATCATCCTGTGATTTGACTTTCACAACTCTCACTCCATAGTCCTGCTCTGCTGTCTATATCCTCGTCTCTCCCGGTGTGTCACGGTGTGTGTACATCTCACTCAAGTCAGGAAACTTGTCAGAATACACATATTTGATTGGCTGAGCTTCATCACGTGATGTGATTCACAACGCATTGGTCGGTGTTTTTCATGCACCGCTGAACAAGTGCCGTAAATGCTGGAATAATTCCGCTGCATAAAAAATGCCCTTCAAAATAAAATCACAACTTTTTTTTTTTTTTTTTGTCATGCAAAGGCCCGCGACCCACTGAAAACCGGTCCGCGACCCAAAAGTGAGCACCCGTCTACACCAGTTGAAAATCACTGGTGTAGACCCTTAGTGTAGTTTGTCTCTAGCCTAACATTAGCTTTTTTTTGCGATGTCATCCTTGCAGCCCTCTTTGCAGCATTGACAAGGCTCAAATGAATCTGGAACTCTTACCAGCAGATGAACTGGCAGTGCAAATGCATAAGTGGCAGCAAAAATATCATCTGATCCGATATATGACTCAATAGGAAGCCCTTTTGAACAGCCTTGTGTTACGCTGCCCTGGATCGACCTCTTGAAGCCTTGTACTTTCCAACATCATTAATGCCATATTGTGAACTCGAAGAACTCATTTATATGGTTATTAATCAGGTTGCATGTGATATAAATCCGTTAATTATTTGTTTATTGAACTGATTGACGTTTTCAGTTCATAAAATGTCACAGAATGGTGAAAAAGGATCATCACAACTTCCCAGAGTGCAATTTTACATCCAACCAAGTGTCCAAAAGCCAGTAGATATTACATTTACTAATGTGTGCGCTTAAAATGCTTATTTATATTTACCCACTGAGCTTTTATTTCCACCAATCAGATTTATTTATTCAGTAGAAAATTCCAAATTTGCATATCCCTCTCTCTCTCTCTCTCTCTCTCTCTCTCTCTCTCCCTCTCTCTCTCTCTCTCTCTCTCCCCCTCATTTCCCGACACTTATCTCTCACTACACCCTGTCTTTGTCTCTCCGTCACCCTCTCTGACACTCTGCATCCCTGGCTTTGCCAGCTTCACTTGCACAGACAGAATCAGAGTCTACGTGCGATACGGTGACTCAAATGTACCTTTGTTGAACACCCACGGATGCTGCTGCTGCTGCCGCTGCTGCTGCTATGCCACAGAAAATCCTTTTTTGCACATGCTCTCTCTGACTGCTGATGAGCCTGTAGAGCTGTAGTCGAAGGGTGCGTTTAGTCTCAAGTTGGCATAAAGCATACGGTGTGTTTGTGTGCGTGCTCTTCAGGATGTGTTTGTTCTTTTCTGTTGTCTCCTATGAAGCTATTGCATGCGAGCAATTGGAGATACAACTGTGAGTGTGTCTGCATGGATGGTGATGAAACTAACCTGACCTCGGCTGAGTTCTGATCAGATCTCAGGCGGTCTGTTTCCTGTCGGTAAGCTAAATAGGATTTCCCCAAAATCCCATTTTAGTGCCCTGCTCTCCTTTATGAGGGATACTCTTGTAATATTTGCTTCATTTACTTTGCTCCTATTGCCCCTTAACAGTGCCGGCATCAGCACTTTCAGTATTTACAGCCTGAACCTTGAGCTGGTGTTCTCTTTGTTGCGGCGCTTTTATGACAAGATTTTCTTACCCCTCCTCCTTTATCTCTCCCCAACCCCACCGCCATCCTCTCTGTCGTCCTGCTGTACCGCTTTACCCGATTTCATTTCCTCCCCTCCCTCTCTCTCTCTCTCTCTCTCGCTCCCCAACCTCACTTCCCCTCCCTTCACCTCCATGCTTGTTCTCTCTCTCTCTCTTTCTTTCTTTCTCTCTCTCTCTCTCTCTCTCTCTCTGTCTCTCTCTCCTGCAGAGCCGGACTGGGCGTCGCTGACTTTGGGTGTGTTTGTTTGCCAGGCCTGCTCGCTCCTTCACCGGAGCATCCCCCACATCAGCAGGGTCAAGTCTGTCCAGGACACGTGGGACGCCAGCGATGTGGAGGTAGGGCAGTGATAGCAAAAAAAAAAATCCCCCAAAATCCGCAATTAGAGGTATCTATCCAAAAACACGTACACATCCTAAATAAAACATCACTTCCTCTTTCTCTTTGTCCAAATTCATTAAGCTGAAGGCATTATAAATCTCAAGTTAAACAAGTGTCTTTCCCCAGATTACACATTATACGTTGTTTTTTTAATCCAAACAAAAGTTTTTGTGCCAAACCGTTTCTTGGTTGAGGACCATAGACTGTGTGAACAGTCTATGGATGAGACCAGTTGCCAGGCAACCAGTGTTGACTCCAAGAATCTCATATTACATTTCCCAAAATGTTGGAACTGTTCCTTTAAGAATGAGTGGTTCTTGCATGAGTCCAAAATAATCACACAACACTGTATCAAAATTCTGAAGCCTGCATTCTGATTGTGTTTAAATCCCAGTACGTTCAACATAAGATTGCATATTTAGTACGGGAATATTCTTTTTTTTAAATTGAATCTAAAAGGTTAGAGGGACGGTGCACATTAAGAAAACGTGTCTGTAACTGTGCCAGTTGACTGCTACAAAAGATGCATGAAATGCATTGAAAGAGGAAAAGCAATACTGTATATATCAAAGCACATTCCCTCAACAAATAATAACCATGAAATACTTTAAAACAAAGACAGTAATACATAAAACATACAACAAAGCACGCTTTAGTTTATTTGAATGGAATATAGAGTCACACGCTTGGTTGTCTTTTAACCCTGATTTTAAACTAAATTGAAGTGTCACAGTCTCTGATGTGTTGGCGAACTGCGTCTTATGGACAAGACAAGCGTCTTTAAATTTGATGAGATTGTCCCAGCTCTTTAAACTGTGATTTCTGAGGTGGTAACAATGGTGATGGGTGTTTTAGCTTCCTGTCATGTACCTTAAGAGCCTGCTGGTTTACTCACTGCACAGGTTTGAGTGTCATACACGAGGCTTTGTGCCCAGCGAGTCAGACAATGGGACTCGCGTGACACGACATTGAAACACAGTGCTGCTGCCTGAGCAGTTAGACAGTTTCTCAAACGAGTGCATGGTAACAGAGTCTTTAAACTGTAGCATCATTTGTGTTTGTTTCGATGGAAACAAACGAGTCAGGGGACCTTTTCTTAACAATGTGACAGAAAATGAAGCAGGATGAGGAAGCATGTCGCTCATTTAAAGGCAGGGTGAAGTACCATTCCATGAGACTGTTTACACTTTCCTTGTGTGTGTAAAAAAGAAGCTGAGCTGTTGTGTTCCTGTAGCAAAAGATGCCCCCTTCACAAATACGTCAGCAAGAAATACGACCTCTGTGGGCAAAGCTGCACAAACAAATACTCTGAGGTTGTCGTTTGTAAGACTAGAGTCCAAACTGTTGCTCGTGCTTTGCTGCGGAAGAGCGAGGTTGTCTCTCGAGTGGATCATGTCAGCGGTTTAACACCACAAAAGGGACTTTGGGGGAGGCGATGCTGGCGTGAGTCGTGAGGTAAATCAGGAGGTTGGAGATGTGGTAGGACAATAATTGGGATGTAAAAGGGGGATTTGATGTCAGGGGAAAGCGAGGTATGAGGTTAAAATGTAAGAGCAATACGGTGGAGTGGTGGGCGTTTAAATATAAAACCAAAACACAAGAGTATTAGTTGATTGGATGACTGGATTTTATTGCAGTGTAGGAAAAAAAATAAAAAAGGACAGGGAAGGCTTTGTGTTAAATCGCCCTTGCTGTAATTGTAGTTCTGGGTAGGCTTTTATTGTTCAGGCTACCGGAGCTGAACATCCACAATCAGAGGAGACGCTTTAGTCAAACAGCCACGGTCGTATTCACTTCATTATTATTCTTCCGGTGCCGTTTCCTTATGTACGTGTGGGCAAGCGTATGGCTGAAGAGCATATGAGATTTATCATTGTTACTGCGTGAAGGTGGGCAAGTTTTGATTAATGAGGCCCCGGCTCTTTGGTTTTATATGAGGGAGGAAAAATCTTGACTTTCGTGGTCCCATTTGTTTGTTGCCATGCAAATTAAAAAGTCATCATGAATATTTGGTTATTTTGTTGAACGGTAACTGAACGTAATGCTCTGTTGCAAGCATCGCTCAGGCTGGAATGGTGAGCACTTTGCGCAAAGGGAAAGCATACCGTATAAAGCAGAGGTGAATATGAACTGGAGCCTGATCTTTTGCTTTGATGACATTGATATCATGTTCTAAATGTCACATAAGAGGTGTCAGATGCATGACATTTTGGCAGCGGACGTGTCACACGTTGATTTCCGTGACTTCCTCGAGAGGTTTGTGGTTCGGTTGAATTTTTCTGCTGCTATTTGACCTTCACAATAAAAATGCCACAGTGCTTTCACTTTCCAGCACCTCTCAGAGGATAAGAGGGGCGGGTTGGGGGATTCAGCCAGCTGGATTGGGCTCAGGGATTATCCCTGGATGAAACGCACATTGGAGAGAACGAGGGCAGAAGGCAGACGCATCCCAATGCAGTGTAGCCAATTCCACAGTTAATCCCATATCTGAAGAAGTTCTGTCATACCTAATATTGTCTATGCTTAAGCACATTTGCAGTTTTGTTGTCACCATTCTCCAGGGTTTATTTCCTTGAAATGTCTGCTGTAAAAAGTGTTGGTATTTAATTTTACAATTTCTATTTTATAATGTCCTAAGGCAGCAAAGATATTGGTGTTCCTTTCATTTGATCTGATTTTCTTTTGGAATCCAATTGACAAGTAAATGAGACATATTCTGTGTTATTAAAATCGCACACTCTCTGTAAAATTGGAAACATATAGGTTCTTATTATAACTATTATAACTTTGTAGTGTAGATCCACGAAAAACTGTGATGGCCAGTATGGTAGACGGTTTTTCAAAATAACAATACCTTTAAACTGTGTGCTGGTTAACAACATGGTTAGATAAAATTGGTCACCCTGGACATGATAAATGAAGCATTGTGGAAACTACTGTATATTCTATTGAAGTAAATAATCCACTTTGAACAGTATTTAGTGTTAAATGACAAGGTTGTGTTGTGTTCTGTCTCCTTTTCAGTTGATGGCTACTACCGGAAACAATGCAGCCAAGGCCAAGTACGAGCAGAAGGTTCCTGCTTTCTACTACAGACCAACACACACTGACTGCAAGTACGTGCTAGTTCTCTCAGTAGTGGCTTTCAAACACTTGAGGTGCAGCCAGTATGAACTCTGTGCAAGCTATTGTTTGAAAGGAGATAATATGTGCTAGCTGAATTAGCCTCCTTGCTAGTTAGCGAACAGATAACACTTTGCTAGGCTAACTGCCTAGCTTAACCAGTGTTAAAGACAATATAATACCGTCAGTTCTCTACTGAGCTTCCATAATGGCGCCAGTGTTACCTAAAGGTTGTGTGTCAATGTGTAATACAACCTTTATTGGACAAAATATCAAAGGTGACTTGTAAGTTCACTTATATTTTGACAACTGTTTCCTCTATAAATAGTAGAGAGAGAGAGAGAGAGAGAGAGAGAGAGAGAGAGGTTTAGGTTGGTATTGCTAACAGGAGCTAGCTGGCTTAAGCTAACCCGCATGAGTGCCTTTTTTAATGAAATACATCTTGGCATTTGCTTCATAGTATGAAAACAATAAAATGAATGATGGCTGAAGAGAATGGAGCCGTCATTAATGATATTAGTAACACCTGTGCTCTTGGTCTATGACAAGTCAAACGTATAGAGAGAGCCCGATACGGTGCAGTCAACGAAATAATCCCCAAACATGTTCCCCATAGACCACCACTAAAGAGATGTATGTAAAGCTGTAAAATAAGGTGCATTATTAATGATTATATTATGAATTCTAAAGTTATAGTTCTCCCCAGAGCTCAGAAAAGCTCTATCACGTCTCATTGTGAAGTCTATGGGCTTTTTTCATTCAGTTCACTGGCCGCCATCTTTGAGTCCAGTATCCAGTTGTTAACATCTGTTAAAGAAAAGTTTCTTTCAGGTCCAATTCTGTTACTGGTTCAGAGAGAATTCTACAGCTTTGTTGTGAACTTCTGTCTCCACTGTGCAGTGAATAAAACTCATCTGAACCAGCCACAGAATCCGACCTGAAGAAACTTTTCTTCAACAGTCGGGTGCCAATTAACCGTGGGCACCTTCCTAGGAGCAACCCCTTTCATGCGTCACACAGTCATTTGATTTATTATACAGAGATGTTAATAAGTGTAATAAGTGCAGATTTAAAGTCTCATTTCTTTATATAATTGGCCCTTGTTGAGCTCCACTGTCCAATGTGAAAAGAAAATGCTGAATGCAGAGGCGGCTACACTGCATGCTGATTAGTGCTAAAGCGATATACACCATGTTGTGCAGTGGGTTGTTAATGTAAATGAAGCTGTATTAAACAGTTACACCTCTCACTGTGTATATCACTTAAAAAAGTATTCACACTCCCCCGTTTTTCGTGTTTTATTGCTTTACAACTTTGAATCACAGTTCCGCAGAATATTACAGACTTTTTCCTGAACCAACAAAACATGATGTACTTTTTTTTCTAACTTCTCCTACACTTTGGTTGTGTAAGCTGAGGTAGTGACACAGATTGTCTTGGACATTTTGGGATCGTCCATCCATCTCTCTCATGTGTCTGCCTCCCTTTCAACAGCATCTGATTAAAATAGACACAAACAGAACTAAGACGGGTGGAGTGAGAGACAGCTGTGTCTTCTTCCTCAGTGTCTGTGCCATGGTTGTCTGTTCACATTCACTCACTCGACTCCCCTGCGTAGTCTACCACGGGGGGGGGGGGGGGGTTGGGTTTAGGTCCAATCCGGTGTCACCAGAAGGTGTCACTCAAAGAGATATCCACTAAGAGCACAGCTCTTTACCTCCTCATGCTGATGGACCGGTGGTTTTGGAGACTGAAAGGTGGAGGGAGGTAGAGAGCTTGTTGGCATGGTGATGTTTCTCCTCACGCCGAACTGAAGAGGAAGAAGACCGTCTACAACTGAGATGGCTTCCTTTACATGCAGCTTTGGTATAGACTGTGGAAACGGAGTGTTGAACACCATAAGCTCCAGGACTATTCCATTATTCGCTTACAATCGGGACTGAAAGTAACAATAGAGAAAAATGGATGAAATGCTCCGTCATTGTATTAATCAATACCACTCATTTATATGTGTGTGTGTGTGTGTGATATTAAGCTATAGCTAGCAGCCGCTAAACTAGAGATGTGAGGTTAGATATGGTGGACCAGTAATAATCTGGTCATCTCACTCTTTGGCAAAAAAGCCCCAAATTTTTTTCCCAAAATCTCGAACTAGTTCTTTACGTAGATACGTATAAATAAATAAATAAATGATGTATACATAATTTAGGGGGATTGCATCCTTGCGTGTTCTTTGTATTTTGCCTACAAAAAAATGCAATAAATAGTGTTTTGTAAAAATCATATTTTTCCTTCTACAAACGGTGTTACGCAGAGGATGCACTCAAAGCTTCAAATGCTTTTTAGTCACATTTGACTAAAAGAGACAGTTGAGTATATAATACGTATCCCTTTGATGTCTGTACGGAAGGGCTGCACAATATGAGGGAAATATGCAGCATGCAATAACGTTAAATACTCTGATACTTGTGATAAATAAACGGATGTACTGCTTGTTGAATTAAAAAAATTATAATGAAAGGAAATTATTTTGAAAATATTTTTATTTAACATATTGGACTGAACACAAAAGCAACCATTTAAAACTAAAATAATGATTGCTACATTTCTTTTTTTAATTTTCTTCCTTAAAATCAATTAAAACCAATCCTCTAGTCATCTCCTTATAAGGCCTTGCAATGACAAATCATGGTACTCACTGTAGGTGAAAATGCAAACGTTTATTGACTTAAAGCTAGGGTAACACCTCTGTTGTGTCATTTCTGTATAGTAAACAGTAATACTGTGTAGGACAGGATTCACGTGTGTGTAGGACAGGGCAGTTAGTGAGTGTGAACTGAAAGCTCTTTTTCTATGTCTCCAGGATGCTGAGGGAGCAGTGGATCAGAGCCAAGTACGAGAGGAATGAGTTTGAGTTCATCGAAAAGCAGGAGCCTTACTCTGCAGGTACCCGCATAGCGACATGTGTCACATTACTACACCTAGTGAAGACCCTCATCAGGGTCCACTCTGATGGAAATACGACACAGCCGCACTACTGGAATGATTATTAATGGTCTCCTCTATGTAAAAACACTATTGAAGGAATAGTTTGCTAGGTTTCACGCCTGCACAAGCACACTAGTAGACAGAGTGTTTTTTTAAAAGGATACAAATTGGAGGGTCTGTTGTCGTGCCAATCTTGCATTTTTTACCGTTCGATAAGCAGAACCTTGAAAACACCTCGGACAAACATTTCCCAGTGGATGCCACTCGCTGGAATTCATGACACAAATTGTCACTGCCAGAGAAGAGAGGTGTGTGTGTGTTTGGTTGGTCATGTGTGTGTGTGTGTGGATGGGTTTGCAGTATTTTTGTGTAGAGTGGATGTGTGTGTCTCTGTGTCAACTAGTATACATTTCATGCTGTTAAGACGGAGCTTTGTGATTGGCTCGCAGTGACCTCATTCGTTTATTGTTACGGTGGAGAACCGTGCACACACACACACACACACACACACACACACACATGCAATAATATGAGTCATTCTGTCATCTCTATTTCTGCATTCATCCTTTCTTCATTACTCATTCTGGGGTCTATGGCATCTATGTGTGTGTGTGTGTGTGTGTGTGTGTGTGTGTGTGTGTGTGTGTGT